TTTTTCTAGAAAACCCCACAGTATATTCATAGAATTTTCAATTTAAATGGAAGGCTTCATGCATAAAAAAATATTTCAATAATGTAAGTTCAGAAATGCCATTTTCAAAATTATCCTTGAGTTTTATGTGTGTGTAATTGTCAGTGATAATCTAAATATATCCCAAGAAACAGCCCAGGATTTCTTTGATTTTGGCCAATTTTTCATCCAAGAAAAATAATCTTTGTGGCACTAAGTGAGATGGCACTAAATCAGGGATTTCTTTGGCATTGCAAAAGAGGGAGATTTCTTCTGAGAAATGTGTGGCAATATTTCTTGCTGTCACTCAATGGAGGGTTGACTGTATTGGTTTTTTTTTCTTCAAAACAATTTTAAAATATGTCTTTGTGTCTGTATAAAAAAAGAAAAATAAAGATATCCTTAAATGAAAATTTCATTCATGGAAAAGCAAATTATAATCATTCCAAACCCTTCTGGTGATGGTTTAATGGCTCTCAGCCCTATATGATGTTTGCTCCTTGGCAATAAACATGAATTTGTGTCACTTGTATATGAGTGCAAAATACAAAAAAAATCCAGGAAAAAGGGAAGATGCTTACCCAGCAGAACCATTTAATGTCAAGGCTGAACATCTTGCAAGAGGTACAGGGACTTTGTCATGCTTGTTTGACATTCCTGCCAGGTTGAGCATCTTATTGTTGCATATATCCTTCATCCCTGCTCATTGTTTGTCTTGCTGGTTTTCTCAACTGGAAATGATGTGTATTTTTCATGCTTGCATGCATGTATGTATGTGTGTATGTACTGCTGTGTGTGTATATTATGCATGAAGGGATGCTTATGCATTTGTTTCCCTGTGTTTTTGCTTTCTTGCTTGCTCCAATCCTCCTGGCTTTATATACTTTTCACTGTATGTATATTTCTCATCTGAAGAGAAGTTATTCTCTGTATTTTACTAAACTTGAGGGCTCAAGGTGGGAGACGTTTCCCTGTTATACTGGATTTCCTCAAGTGCATGCACATCTCCTGCTGGTTGGTTGAAGGAAACATGTGAATAACTTTACTTATAAAGATATTAAAAGTCCCAAAACAAATTAATCATCAGCACTGCACTATCATTGTTTGATGCATTTTCAATAATGCAGTAAATTGACCATAAACTGGATTGTTTCTTCACTATTCCTCAAGGAATTGTTGGACATAAATACAGAATCAAACAAAAGAGTGGATGTTGACAATGCAGTGGAACAAATAGAACATGGGCCAACAGCTGGTTTGCAGACAAGAGCATATACTCAAGGGGCAATTCCAATATATGTCCCTTGTTCTTTTCAGAATGATTTATTATGTAATATGAAATGTTACAATCAAAAGTAGCACTGAAAAGTGAAAACACTACCAAAGAAAGTGAAGACAAATTAGCGCGCTAACGCGAATCTGAACGCAAGTATGAAAATACAAAATATTGCATGGATAAAGAAGGAATAAAAAGAGATTGTCAATCTTTTCACAATGAAGGCTGTGTGGAGACTGCTTTTTAAATTTATAATAAAAGTTGGAAGTAAATATAAATAAAAAAACCTTGCATGAGTTCTTGTCAAGGCACTTTCTCTCCACAAGAGGAATCAATGCTTTTGAGCCATGAAAGTGTGTCCAGCAGGTTTTAAAAAAATGATGTACTGTCTATGGCTTTCTTTTCTCTGCATAAAAATCAAAAG